ATCGTTAGTCAAATCCCCGCAAACCCTGTAATAGCCTTCCGTATTTTAATCGGTTTATCTATAATTAATTAATTATTATTTAAAATTCAAAGTTATTCTGGTCATGAGGTAAACATCCTTTAGGTCAATTCTAAACGTGTGCATTTCACAAAAACCTTCAAATTAATTGACAACTGCTGAAAATTACAAACTTAATATAATTTTTTCTTATGGCTAATGAATACTTGAATACATCTACGTTAGAACTTAATCAGTAACTACCTTTCTATCAAGACCTCCTCCTATAACATCTTCAATTTTTAGCACATCTTGCAAGCCCTAGAGTCAATTTTTTTCACGATTGGAAAAGGTTACCGTTTAAATAAATCGAGGTGACAAAAAATTATAAACCATAGTTCCAAACAACCTTTTCCAGAATCTTCGAGAGAGATTTGCTTAACACAAGATTTTTTTATTTAATCAATTTAATTGTATTTAAAACAAATAGCGACAATATTCAAACTTAGTTTGCTTGTTTTAGCGTTAGATTCTGAGTGTGTGCCCAGAAGGAAAATATTCGTAGATCTTAATCTAGTTTTGAATGGGCGCCCACATGTGACCCGTACGTGGGGTGGAGAAATAATACGGGTCGGACCAGCCACTTAAGCCTAATTCAGAATCGACACCTTATTTTTTCTGATATATCGCAACGGAGGTCACATTTGTCAGAATTAAATGTTTCCAGGGTTCCTTTACCGTGGAAAAAAAATGCAGTTAGTTCAGAAAATTTGAAGACCCACGAAATCTTTTTTCAATCTAATATAAAGAAAGATCAAAACCAAAGTTGAAGTATTATATAGATGTAACACTTCCTTACAGAAGACGACTACTAGAAATGTTGAATGGTGGCGTGAGTGCGGTGTTTAATCCTTTTTAAAAAGATAGTTCCTACTCACAGTAAGTTGTTTTGCAACGATCGGGATTTCGAGCTGTTTGCTCATCATCAGGTTGTAGAACTCCTTCAACCTTTTTAGAAAGTCATAATTAATTATTTGAAACATCCCTTGGTATACTGAACTCTCATGGCTCGTTAAGTATCTGTTGCCCTGAGGAAAAAGACAGAAACTGTAAGTGAGGCGACAAGTTAAGTCCCTGAGGAAGTATTTTTATAAAGTGCCTACAAAGGTCCCTGCGGAACTTGTACAGTATTTGGTAAATTCTTAAAAAGTCACTGATAAAGTTTCTGCAAAATCACCAGTAGAGACTTCCGTAAAGTTTCTGAAAATGTTATTTGTAAAATGCTTTCTAAGCATAGAGTAAAGAGAGTAAAGTAACTCATTAATCCACCATTACTTTAAACTTTCCAAAAAATAGATTTGATTAATTCTTTGGTTAAACCCTAGTCTTTCGTAAAGTTTCTGAGAAAATTCGCTAGTAAAACCCCTGCGAATGCTTCCAGTAACGTATTTGGTAAATTCTTAAAAATTTGCTGTTAAAATTTCTGCAAAACTACCAGTAAAGTAATTCGTGAAGTTTCTGAAAATGTCGTTTGTAAAATACCTGCTAAATATACGAATAAAGTAACTCGTTAATCCATCATTAATTGTAAACTTTCCACACAAAAAAAAGGTTTGATTAAATCTTTGCTTAAACTGCCAGTAAAGTTTTTGGTAAAGTTTCTGAGAAAAGTCGTTAGTAAAACCCCTGCTGTTAGCTCATCATCAGGTTGTAGAACTCCCTCAACCTGATGATGAGCTAAAAGCTCGAAATCCGGATCGTTGGAAAACAACTTACTGTGAGTAGGAACTATCTTTTTAAAAGGATTGAAGACGATTACTCCCAGACCGACAACACCTCCACTTTATTATTAAATATAATACAAGTTAGATCACACAATTGAATTTTAACTTTAGTTAGCAAATCTTAAAATTTTGCGCGTTAATCATTCTGATATGTTTCATTTATCTGATTATGTCTGACAACCGCGTTTCAGCATGTCTCAATCTTCAGCCGTAGGTCTACAAGTTTTATCAGTCGCAACCAGTATGCATTTATTATTACGAAATCTGTATTAGAAGCAACTAAGCTAAATACCCGTATCTTTCAATCCTCACATTCTTTTACACAATCAACCCCTTTTGAATCTTTCGATCTATCTCTATCTCGTTCTGTTGTATCTCTTCCTATCTATGTCTCTCTCTCTCTCTCTCTCTCTCTCTCTCTCTCTCTCTCTCTCTCTCTCTCTCTCTCTTTCTCTCTCTCTTTCTCGAAACAACCGCCTGAGAAAATCCCCCCCTTCAAGATGTATAATAATTAGCAAACAGAAAAATAAACAGTCAATACGTGTTGGGGTGTAAAAGCACAACGTGTAAAGGTAGAAACAAGAATTAGGTATACTATAGAACTCGGGGGTATAATTACGATAAAATGACAATGTTCATGTGAGAACAAACATAAAAGTGATGCAAATGTAGGTGGGAACAACCAAGGGCAAAAATATTAAAAGGAAAAGGTGATTCGAAGACTTTGCAAAAAAAAATTTGTATAATAAATGTCTCAAATTTGAAATTTTTGGTAAGAGAACTTGCCATAATCAGTATATTATAAATTTCCCTTTTGGTTCTTTTAATATTTCATCTTATTTTTTGATGTATATCTTTTCTTTTTTTGTCCCTTTTCATCAAAATTCAAATCATCAGTACTGAGGAATTCTGACATAACGGGATGTCCGATTACGGGCTCTATCACAATTCGTACTTTCGTCATTATCGCTCCGTCGAAGAGATAAAATGGCCATATTTGCCTACTTGTTTGTTCAAGATTGTTGACAATCCAAAAAGGAAGTCGTCAATACTGCGACAATTATTTTAGTTCAAATCGGCCTAAAATTAAAACTATTTATATAATTATGGTCTTATGACCTACTTCTAGATAAATTTCGAAACCGACTTTGAACCGACTATTTGAAGAAATTGGGTTGGCTAAGTAAACCTGCAAAAAAAAGTAATAAGATTGTAGTCAGAATTTCATAGATCTAAGAAAAAGTATTGTAAGCAGTAGTATTATATACTACAATAACAAAAACTCAGCCATTAAACAACAGAATTAGAAATATAATAGTATTTTCCATGCTGTTTTTGTTATCATCATAACACGATCGTTAAAATCATTAAACTCTAAAAACGCAAAAAAAGCTTGAAACATCTGTGTATTTCAAATTGTTTTATATTTTGCTACGATTCTGCCTGAAAACAATTATCTTCTGATACTAATGAAATTGTTTAGTCTCTATTACATTGCTTCAGCAATTTCGATCAGATGCCTTCATTGGTCAAATATTATGAATTCGTGCATCTAATGCCACCAATCAAGCAACATGCAAAAATTAACCTCTAAATCCCAAAGTTTACTAATTTTTGTGCAAAATCATACTGAAAAGCATCTATTTTTTGAAAAACGCTACCAAAAGAGTGGCTAAACTAGAGATTTAATAATAGCTCGTGTTTGTCATTTGGTGACGAAAGTTTTAACTTTGAGATATATACAAAATATTTTATTTTTGAGCAATTTGAAAAACAAATTCGCTGATATACGCTAAGAATCGCTTGGGTCTCTGCAAGTTCCTAACTCATGAAATCATGCAAATTCACATAAAACAAAACACACAAATACGTCATACATAACTCTGGGTTTCCTTCCTTACAGAATCTCTCTCTCTCTCTCTCTCTCTCTCTCTCTCTCTCTCTCTCTCTCTCTCNCTCTCTCACTCTCTCTCTCACTCTCTCTCTCTCTCTCTCACTCTCTCTCTATCTATCTCTCTCTATCTATCTATCTATCTATCAATCTATATGTCTATCCATCTATCTACTTATATATTTGTCTAGTAATCTATCTAACCTTCTATCTATTTATACAATCATTTTTGTCTATTTATTTCAACTCATTCTGTTGTATCTCTATCACATATAACACACAGGGAACTGTTATAAAGAATCAAAGGAAAAATCTATTGTATCAAGGAAGAAGAATATTTTTTGCAATGGTAGAAATCAGTGATTTGCCACAACCTGCTTATAACCCTGATGTGACATCTTATGACTATGCTTTGCTAAAATACAAAAGAAGAGAAGTAAAATTTGTGGAAAATAAACCTTAAATGAAATAAAATTCATGAATAATGAATGTAAAATTCAACTGATTTAATCCTGCTGCAATTTTCAAAAGCTCTTGAATTCTCTGTTCTGTACTCACATGACACACTGGTGTTCAATTAATCTACGAATTTGCTATTTGCCCATTTTACAACTAGGTCCTTTAATACTCATACATTAAAGGATGTACAGCCCTGTCTACTTTGTAGAATATACATAGTCATCAACTTTTATCGGATTGCCATCGAACGCTTCCTGTACTTATTTGCATTGATGATTGTACCTTTCCTGTTGCTGAGAATTTTACTCCATTTAATTGGAATTTTCCATTATTTCTGAGTTGAATCTAGACATCCTGTTTGAACTTAACTATCCTTCTTATGTTGGCCCTTTGAAATATTAAACATTTTCCATTATAGTGATTATGTTCTTTTGTTTAAGCTATAATCCAATCAGGGAATTTTCTTGCCAAGAGTAAGAAAATGCTTTATTTACTCAACCATAACTGGGAGAAAAAGGATTAATCACAATAGCCAATATTTGTCCAAGCTTTATTATAGATGAAGACCAGAAAATCAATGCATTATTATTAGTATTTTTTATTGAAATATGAAAAGATACAATTTTCTGATAGTAAAAAAATAAAACAAACACCACAGTTTTTATTTGTGCTGCAATACTACAATTTTATTACAAAACTACTTTTAGTTACTAGCAACCAAACTTGTGTAGTACACATTCTTTAGTAATTTAATCCTTGATCCTTAATCAAGTGCTTCAATTTTACTTTTTATTGCATTTATAGTGTAGTTTTTGCCTTTGCTTTGTCATCATGATCATTGATGCCCCAACTGGATAGAACCTCTTCTTAAACTTACGTCCAAGTAGCCTCAAAACCAGTCATATTTGTTTATTATTCTTCTCAAGGAACATGAGAACATTACTTTTACTGAAAAAAATAAATTTATATGTTTACCCCAGACGTTTTAAATCAGACTGTTTCGTGACAACTCCGATTTACTATGTCAACGCTTGTGAGCCTTAAATTAAATTTATTTTTCTAAGTTCTTAACTAAAAAAATATTTATATATTTTTATTGTTAATAACTGTATTTTTAAATAAGTATGATGTTTGAAGAAAAACCAAAGTCAAATCATTAAAAAAGGTCTAAAATGATCCTTGTCTTGTTCAACGCATGTCAATTTCTAGCTCCGCACATGGGTCACCTGTACAGTTCGTTGTTGGCAGATGCATACTACAGATTTCAACTCTTGCTCGGTCACAAAGAAGGCGTATTCTCAACGGGAACTGATGAACATGGAATAAAGGTCCAACAGGCCGCTGCAGCTTCAGGTCTACCTCTTCTCGAGTACTGTGATAAAGTAAATGACAAAAAAATAAATAAATAAAAAGGTGCAATGAAACAATGCTTACAAAACTATTTTCCAGATATCTGCGGAATATAGAAATCTATTCGACGAGTTTGCAATCGGGTACAATCAATTTATAAGGACGTCGGACCAAAAGCACAAAGATACTGTCCAGCATTACTGGGTATATATTTATTAGAATTAGAATTACAAGACCTCCTAGGAGGCCTCTGGCCTCTCCCTGATGGATCAGAGGCACCCACCTTGGTGTCTGAGCGGCTCTGATCGGGCGCCAATGATTTCTTTGGTCATTTCGGCGCCCTTCCATTCCCTAAAACTAGTCATTCTCACACTCACTCGCACAATAAATACATATATACTCCTACATACAAACCCAATCACACATGCATATCTTCTGTGTAGAATCCGGGTCAGAGGGTACTAGATATTCTGCCCCGACCCAGCTTGGCGGAGCAGTGGTAGAGCCTTGAGATGATATGCTGCACTGCCGCCCAGCATACCTCTATTCTAACATTAACCTTATATATTTATTAATATAAAATATAGATAATGAAATGGTAGACCAGTTTCGTACTCAAAAGTAAAAAAGAGGGTTATAGAGGGTCTAATTATCACCATCATCAGAACTATATCTAGAGAACTTCAATAATAGACATGCAGGAAAATAACAGTAAAATCTGACAGTCAGACAATAGTCATAGCTTTGTAAACAAATATTGTTTCATGTATAGCAACCAATTAGAAATTTAATCGCAATTAGAGGCAAAGAGGGTCAAACATTGTGTTGAGGTCTACGAGGCGATGACTTCTCAAAGAAGACCAGTATGGTGAAATGTGTGTGGCAGACCACCACAGCAAGGAAATTCCCTAAAAAAATATAAATAGAAAATAATTATCTTTGTACATTCTGCAAACTATCCCATGCTGGGAGCGACACAATTCTGTATTTTTAGTTTCTTACTGTTTAGATTAAAAAATTGCACTCAGGGTTGATCAGCTTTGTTCTTTTATTGTGGAAGATTTCAATTCTTCATCTAAATTCTTTTGAATAGCTTATTTGTGCATAGTACAATTTTATTAATGTACAATCTCATTATATACATTTTTTTTTAAATATTAGAATATATACACTATCATCTATGATTATTCACATATTACAATAACTTTTCATGATCATGTTTCATCCTACTTTACAGTTAAAAATAAGTACATGTATAATTTTAATTTTTTAGAAAATCCTTGATAAAAAAGGGTATATAAGAAAAGGCACTTATAAAGGGTGGTATTGTGATGCTGATGAGGCTTTTCTTACCGAAGCTCAAGTGACTCATGTAAAGTCAAACGGGGAAAATTCAGTTGTCAGGTTTGATAATGTGTTTTGTGATGTAAATTCATTATTTTACAGCGAATACTTTTACAGTGTTGATTCCGGGAGGCCAGTGCATTGGGTCGAAGAGGCAAACTATGAATTTGACCTTCCTAGGGTCAAAGACAGAGTTAAAACTTGGATCAACTCAGGTAAAAAAAATTTACTTGTTTTTCAATTTTTGTCAGTGTAATTTTGAAAATCTAGGTGAATCCATCAGGCCAAAAAAGTTTCAAGATCTCTGTAACACCTGGCTCAAAGAGGGGCTTATGGATCAACCACTGTCAGTCTCGAGGCCTAAGAAAAGGGTCCATTGGGCAATCGAAGTGCCTGGCGATTCTGAACAATCCATTTATGTGTGGCTTGATGCTCTTTTAAATTACTTAACAGTTAGGGAACATCTTTGGCCCCCCACTTGTCAAATATTGGGAAAGGACATTCTCAAGTAATAACTGTCAATTTTATGAAATTTAATATAAATAAATAAACGAAATATTTTTCTATTTTAGGTTCCATGGAATTTATTGGCCTGCATTTTTAGCGGCACTTGAGTTAGACATGCCGAGGTCATTTCTCGTCCATTCACATTGGACAGTAGAAGGGGAAAAGATGTCCAAATCAAAAGGAAATGTCATTAATCCCAGAATTTGTGCAGAAAAATTTGGCATCTCCGGTGTACGATATTTTTTACTAAGGGAAGGAACACCACATTCAGACAGCAGTAAATAATTTTAAAATTAATTACATGCCTTGTAAAATTGTCGTCGATTTAAAAAACAAAATTAATTAGATTACAGTGAAACGAAAATATTCAGAGTATTGAATTCAGAGTTGGCAGACACATTTGGTAATCTTTTAAGCCGAAGTACAGGATCAGCTGTCAACAAGAAACAAGTTTTTCCGCCTTTTGATAGAAACAATTTTGATAAATACTGCAAAATGCAAGCTTCTGAACTGATATCTCTTTTGGAAATTTTACAAGGTGATGATAAAAACTTTTGTAAAACATTATTAAAAATCACTATAATTTTTTTTTTTGCCCTTTAGATGAAGTCGGAGAATATTACAGTGAATTAAACTTTTACAAAGGAATCGCATTGGTCATGAAAGTCCTTCACACTGCAAATTGCTTTGTCGAATCCATGAAGCCTTGGGAGCTACGCAAAGACCCATCGTGCAGTGCACACTTGGACTGCGTCCTACACCTTTCTTTGGAATGTTTGAGAATTTGCAGTATCGCGTTAACGCCGGTGATTCCGATGTTGACGAATAAACTTCTGGACAAGCTCAGCATTCCAGTCGAAGCCCGCACTTGGCCAGACATGGTGCCGAGCTGGAAGAAAGAGTTCGAAGGAAGTAGCCTAGCTCATGAAAAACTCATTCTTTATAGAAGAATTCAGGCATAAATGTAAATCACAATTGTTTTTAAAACCATTCTAAGGCTGAAACACTGCTCAAACAAAAAAGCGCAATTTGGAATTTTCATATCTTTTTAAGTTTCTTCCTTTTTGCTAAAAATTTTTTACAATTCAGGTATTTATTAAAAGATTTGGTTAGTGCAGAAATAAAAACAAAAATTTTTAATTGTATGTGTTATTCCTCTTACAATTATTACACACATCTCAGCATACTCATAATTAAGCCTTCAACGTCTTGAGGAATTTCATCGCAAATCTCGTCTAATGAAACTTTCAGCTCAGCTAAGGTTGTATGAGGGTTTTTTCTTTGTTTTATCCAATGTCTGAACTGATCCGAAAAGTTCTCAATGGGGTTCAAATCAGGGATATGGGCTGGCCATCTTATAGTTCGGATATTGACCTTTCGAAGGTACTGGATAACTGTGGTAGCAACAGTCTTGGATTATAATGCAAAAACAAGAACTTCTTGCCAATAACAAACAAACGGCATCACATTAAACATATTAAATGATATCCAATTGTAACATTTTTGCCTCAAAGAAATTCCACTCAACATTATAGTTAAACCACCTCCGAAAGACCTCTTCTGGTGAACGAAGAGAAAACGGGCTTGTCTGAAAACATGGCATTCCTCTATTCAGTTTCTATCCACTGTCAGTGTTTCCTTGCAAACTAATTGGGTCCAACAAAAGTCTCTAGTAAGCACTGGACAAGTTGCTCATGATGTAGACTCATTTCTGCAAGTCTCCTTTCAGCGCTAACAGAAACATTGTGCACGGTTCAAAGTCTAGGAAATGTTTCAGCAGTGGAAAAGTGATTTCTCAGAGTGTGCAATATGATAAATCGGTCGTTGGCTGGGTCTTGGGTGATCTGATACTGGTCTCCAAGTATAACTTGTATCTCCCAGTACACTTGACCTCCTTCCAGCAGGCAAACCTAAAATGTGTAATGCGATTTCTTTCATATTAAAGGAGTGCAATGGCCCAGGCAACTTGCTCACTGATTATGAACATTTTCATAATCATTTTATTTCGAGTCACCAAAACAACAGTGAATAAAGGCATTTTTAGTAAATGCTTTTTTTAATTGATTTACGTTATGGGGGGGTTTAGCAGTTTGGCCTCACAAACAGCGGCAAAAACCAACACATTTTGTTTAATTATAATTATTAAATCATTTTTAAAGCAAAAACAAAAATTATGGCCAAAACAGTGTCAAATTTAAAAAAATCCAAATTTCAACTTGTGTCACTTTTTTGTGGAGCAGTGTATATAACAAAAATATAAACATTTTATATTTATTCATTTAGTTTTATAATAGTTGTATATAATTTAGTAATAAAACGTTAAAAATTATAGAGAATAGTCAAACTCCTGTAAAGCTGTTTAATCATCACTGAACAACTCATGATGATACTTACAAATGTACACTTATAATGAAAAAAATTCCATGATCTGCGTTATCAAACTATTATTTGTGGCCCCTATTATTTATTTTTTGCCACAATTTTATCCTGAAAATTGGAAAGAGAGGATTGAGTCAAATAAACTATTAACCTTAACCTTTTATTATCTATAAAATATTACAAATTTCTTTGTAAAGTAATCACAGAAATTGATATCACACGTTCTTCCATTTGAATACTTTCAACCTAACAACTGATCAAAAAGACAACCTAAGTGCAGTTAAAAAAACCTTTCTTTTCTTGCTTAAACATTGAACAAGCAATGAAAATAATTAAAAATAACAAATAAGTATTGCTAAACAAATAATTGTTTTTGGTTTCATGTAAGGCACATAAAAAACAGTGATATGTATTCAATAATTAGGTGTTATTTTTATAAATTTGACCGTGCAAAAAAATTAACAACTAAGGGATAAAACAGGTTGATAATTATGAACAATTCATCCAATTATTTGGAATGTTTGGTGTTAGATTTACTATACTATACTGTAAATGTTTAGTAAAACTAAAAGGAGGGAAAACTCATAAGGTGGGGTTGAGATAGGAAGTTGATGTCCGAGTGGATTGAGGTCACGATAGCTCAAGTGGTAGAGCAGCGGCGTATCTAGCCGAAGATCGTGGGTTCGAATCCCGCTCGTGCCATTAACTTTTTTTCATCTCAACTAAAAACCTTAATTTAATTGTAGTTTAGTAAAACATTCTTTTCTCTTGAAAGCAAATGAAATTCTGGTATTTGAATGTGGAAAATTAAAAAACTAAAAGGCCCAAATGTATACCCATAATACAATCACATTGACATTCATTCTTTAAAAAAATCCCCTTAGAATTTTTAATTTTAAAAAAATATATTTTTTAAATAGTTTAATAATCACAATAATGGAAGTAGAGAGAAAAATGCTGACGACTGATCAAAAGGCCAATTTTTTATCATTCAATTTAATACCTTCAGCCTTTTGAATAAAAGAAGTGGTTTGGATTTGTTTAAAAATTAGAGAATTTTGCGCATAACATTTATAAAATAAATTTAAAAACTCAATAATCACCTTAAAAGAAATTTACTTGAAAATCAAACAATAGAAATTAGGCTGTATAAACTACTTATTTTAATAATGAAAAACCTTATCCACGAAATTTCTATAATCACAGCCAAAACCTTTTAAAAATCTGACTTCATTTTAAAATTGGCCTTTGTGGAAGATGGAGGTTCAAAGAAGAAGCAGAAAGGTTAGCAGAACAAAGTTTTTTCTTGCCTGAAATTTGCTTACAGCACAAAATTTAGACTTAATTAAAATATGACTATACTAACAGTGAATAATTAACAATTACGCTGGATTATATTACGGACCACTTCTGCCCTGCTATGAAATAATTCTGTATCTATTGTTTGATACTTTTGAGAAATTGAGCTTTAAAGTTTTTAATACTACATGACCTCAGTTAATTTGCTTTTTTTTTCAAGTTTTTGGCCTAGGACTAACTTATTTATTGATTCACTTATATTTTATGTGTTGTTTTAATTACAATAAAAAGGTTGTTAGGTTCAATTTAACTATCAATTACTTATGAAAAAGATTGAATCTAAAAATAGTTTGATTTGTTTTTACAAGCATAAATTGTTTTTTTTTTATTTAATTTTTTTTTTTTTAATTATAATTTCTTTTACAATGGAGTAGAAATTTAATGCATGATGAAACACATATTTACATTAATACAACTGAATTTTCATTTCCTTTGTACAATGCACCTCTCCACTAAATGATTTGTTTTACTCAGGAAACAAATTTTCGTGGTGTAAAACAAAAGGAAAATAATGTAAGTGGCACACACGTTAATTTACTTAGTAATAAAAGCAATTTTTATTAAGAAAGTAAAATTTTGAAAATTCAGTTTTTATTTTACTAGATTTTTCTTCAAAACGTGCTATGTACAACATGCCAATATTTTAAACTCAATATTTTTAATACTTCTGGACCAGTTTATATTGATTTTATCATTTTTTACAGAAGGAAGTACCTAAGAATACAATGGTAAAAAAAAGTTGAAAAATTTAGTACTCTATTTTCTTCCTATGTTTTAAAAGTGGTTTGGTAATATAATATCGTAGTAAAAGTACAACAGGAGAAAATAATGTATGCACACCCTAGAGCTTGTAGTTCCCATTATAAATATATAATATAATAAGTTGTAAGAAACTTCAGAAATGACAGCATCTAGAAGATACCTAAATCTACTGAAACATGACATTTACCTAAACGCCAGCCTACATGACTTGGGAATGAAACCGCGGGTGCATTGGATCAAGGCATGGAAGCCTTGATTGAACTATACATTTCTTAAAGCAGTTGTTGTAGTAGTAGGAGAGCAAAGGTGCATATCTGAGCATACTAAAAATATGCTCAGAGATCTCGGCAGTTGTTTAATCCTAAATGCTTTGAGATCCTCTGTCTGTGGGAAAGAGAGTAAAGCTTTTCACTCCGGCTGTTGAACATACTAAGCGACGGACCCAGGAAAGTCATAATAGTACACAAATGGACCTAAAGTTACGAGTGAAGTTGGGTAGTGGTAGAAAAACGTAGGTATAGATAGCTTTTAGTTGAAAGAAGAAAAAAAATGAAGCATAGTGTTTACCGAACCAAAAGTGTGATGTTAGAAAAGGATTTGATAAAAAAATACAAGTGAATACGACAAAATTAGAAATGTGATTATAATTAAACGACAAGACGGCCATACATTTTGCTGAGATCTGCGAAGCCATGACTCTGTTCTAAGAACAAAATGGCAAAATGCTGAAACACACCTGACAGACAATACTGGCAAGAATACCAATTCAAGGATGATCAAAGATGATGAAGCTACAAATAAAATATGAACTAGCTAAATTGATTAATTTTGCAAAATTGTGTACAAATATTTTTTCCACTACTGCATGTCACGTTACATTATCTATGACAGATTTTTATTCTGATAAAACTATTTACAAAAATAAGTTCAAATAATTTCTTTAGGTGATTTTTGAGTAGATTTTTTTAAAGTAATACTGAAACAAAAACAACAGTAACAGAATAACGTTCCTGTAATACTAAATATCAATTTGGCACTGAAATGTTTATAAACAATAGGAGATTCAATGCCTATTTTTTTTTTCTTTCAGAAAGCACTTTTCTGAACAATGTTAAGTACAACGCAAACAGTATAATTGCACTGTTAAGTCCTACCGAGAGAGTCGATACTGATTTTCTTTAATTTTCCGTTTTCCATCTTGATAAGGGAACTATAATCTTTGGCATTTTCAATGAGCTTGCTCAGTTCGTAGTATCGTCTGTCGGTCATGAGAGACAGGTTGAAATTAGAACCCATTTTCTCCAATATGAACTCCTTCCACACCTGGTAAAAAAATTAATTAATATATTTTTTTTCACTTATAATTTTTGTTAAACTTACTTCATCCGTATTGTTAGTTGCTTTTGTCATATTATTGCCAAGTCCCCCAAGTTGATTGAAAATTTGAACGTTATAAAAAAGATAACGGTAAAAGAACATTTTATCACCTTCTGTACCTTTAAAACTGATAGATGTTATACTACAACACTTATCACCCTGAGGAATAAAATACTAGTTATTTTTGAGTTTGACATATAATTTTTTTAATTATTACCTGGATTACAGGGAATAAACTTTTCCTTGAATACTTTTCAATTACCGAATTGTAATCAGGGGCCATCAACTGATTGGGAGTGAAGTAATGAAATCTCTGCAAGCCTTCGTCGTCCCGTAAGTCTGATGCCAAAACACCCAATTCTCGCAAATATTTCCCTAAAATTAAATCATTTTATAATGTTTTAGAAGTATTTACCCAAGATTTGAGGGATTTTTTTAAAACATTTTTTTGAAAACATTATAGGTGTTAAATTGTACAAATACTCTTTTGCAATCAAATCTTACTCATAAATGTAAAAACTAAGCACAATGCCAGATAAGTGACAAGAATAAAAGGCTATCATTAAAAATATGATGGAAACACTACTGGATTATTGGTTAGAAAAAATAAGAAGTGAAGATAAAAATCTAAAAAATGCAAAACTAAATAGTTAGACAAATGAGATGATTATTTCTATGGCTATAAAAGTGCCTAGTTAATCTAGTTTTTATGATCATTGATCATCATCATTAAAAAATTTAAATTCAATTTTGAATATTTTATTTATATACACTGTTTTTTTTTCCACCTTTCTCTTTTATTATTCGGAGATCGTGAGATGTGGTTGGGTATGACGTAGGTTTTAGAAAAACATTTTCTCTAGCGTGCAACATTTTGATCTTTATTGAGATCATCTTCCGGGCCTGGGATTTACAAACATTGTTTAGATTTAACAAATACATGTAGGATGTGGAAAAAAAAGGGAATTTATACAATGCAAAATAAAAAATATATATATATAGAAATACTTTGAGTGAATATAAAAAAATATTTTTTTGCATTCACTTTTTTTTCCACATCCTATATGTATTTGTTAAATTTAATCAATGTTTGTAAATCCCAGGCCCTGAAGATGATCTCAATAAAGATCAAAACGTTAGAACGATAAAGAAAATATTTTTCTAAAACCTACGTCACACCAGACCGCATCTCACGATCTCCGAATAATCATCGACTAACAGTCACTAATCATCACACATTTCTCTTTTATTTCGCATTTACCCAATTAGACAAAGAATGTGAAATGTAATATCGCTTACCTAATAAATAGTCTTCATTGTTTTTGTATTTCCCACTTGAAAGACAAGCAGCAGAAGAATTGAACCTCGCTGATAGGAGTGAGATTGCACCTTTGCTAAGGACATAAGCCGTCTGTTTGGTGTTGAAAACCACCCCCCAGAAAATCTGGTTATGGCCAAAATAGTATGGCTTTTTGGGATCTAGGTTGATGAGGGCGTACCTAAGATTCTCCGGAATTAGAAACAGATCGTCGTTGGCAAAGACAACCCAATCGAAGGAAACCAAAGTCCTTATCGTCTCGCAGAGAAAGGACCATGAATCCTTTCCGGTGAAGACATTGACATCGAGGAAGGGGACTAATTTGTTTGAGTAGTACAGGACATCATTGCACTTGCGGCCCCAAGTGTTTGATATTGCGTATGCGTTGTTCTCCTTCTCTATAAAGACTACGCAGGTCACCTGTTGAAAGCTTAAGTTCAATAACACATTCATAACAGACGCATGTTTAAAATAAGGTTTGTTAAATTCTAATAGTAAGTAAAAGTTTTATATTTTTTATTACATATCCAATTTTAAAATTACATGTAATTTAAGGATACATATGTATTTACAATTATTTACATAATTGATTTGAAAGGAGGGAGGCAAATATTTCAACCATTTTACTTCACTAGTTTATCTCGATTCTCAGAAAGGAGGTCATGTGTGCATTTCTGCTTGAGACACCTTATAGGATTGTAAGGATGGGATCTGTTGGACAAGGCTTGGGTTAACTATTGGGGGATGGGAGAGCTTACCGTGGAGCTTGGTAAATTTTTAGATAACTGGGATTTTAAGATCATTGTGGAGGGTAGTATTGCAAACCTAGTGCAACACAGTATGGAGCATTTACAACATTTGGAACTAAGGACTTTGATTGAAAGGATTGGAGACGTTGGATATCAGAAGGTTTAGCAGTTTGCCACAGGTATAGAAATACCTTATGACCCAATATGCTGTTTTTACAATTGTAAGTTTGTTTTTTGCCGATAATTTGGATTGTTGTCCCATCATTTTGGAAGTATACTATAGAGTCTATTTAAGATATCCAGGGTCTATAAGGTAAGATCGTCCAGAAGTACCAAAAGATCCAGGGCGGGGATGATTATCGAATTATTTATTTTCCATGTGATTGTTTCTTTTGCTTGGAGAGAGGTCAGTTTAATTGCTTTGGCTCAAAAGTGTCTACCTTGTATGGCCTATTTTTAATTGGTGATTTAACGGTGGCCAGGTCCAGAGGTTAGGATATTCTGGCTTTAGCCACCTCATTCCCTTTAGTCCTATGTGTTCAGGCACTTGCAAAGTTTATGCACCCTCGCCTGTCTTAGTCTCATCTCTGAAAACGAGGTGAAAACTGGCCTACCTGAATGAAAGTTCCAAGAATTTAGCTGCTTAAATGTACAAGGGTAGACAACTTAGCTAACAGCAAGATCATCCCAGAGTACCCAAGAAACCAGAGCAGAGGTTATTGAATTATTTAGTTTCAACTGTTGTATTTGTATGAATAGAGGTCAATTTAATTACTTTGGCCCAAGTGTCCATGTCTCAACCTTGTATGGCCTATTATTAATCAGATGAGGATGATCCCACTTCTACAATGCAGATCTGGATATGTGAGAGCATCTCTAGCGTGACCACTTTTTTAAAATGTTTTTTATTGTTTTTTAGAGTCAGAGGTTAAAATAACAGTGGCCAGGTCCAGAGGTAAGATGACGCTTCCCTTTAGCCCTGTGTGTCCAGGCATTCACAAGGTTCAGTTTTTCATTCTCTTTTAGCTCTTGTGTCTGGGGATTCAGGAAGTTGATGTACCCTCGCTGGTTGTCTGTGAAAAAAAGGCAAAAACCAACCTACTTCGACGAAAGATTCCTCGAACTTAGCTGGGTAAATTTATGGCGAGGTAGATGACTTGGCTAACACAGCGAGATCGTCCCAGAGTACTCATGGACCCAGGGCAGAGATTATTATTGATTTAGTTTCTATGAAGCGACTGTTGCATTTGTATGAAGAGATATCAAATTAATTGCTTTGGCCCAAATGTGTCCATGTGTCAACTTTGTATGGCCTATTTTAATTAGGTGAGGATGACCCCACTTCTACGATTCTGATCTTAGCATCCGTGAGCTTCTCTGCCGTTCCAGCCAACGCTGCCATTTTCTTTTAATCAATTTATTATGTTATTGAACATTGATTCTAAGAACATTCTTATCTATAGATAAAAAAAGAATTTGTACTGTCAAAAATAGAAAGAAAAATTATAGTTATGTTAGGAAAAATGAGTTTAAAATATGACCTTTACGCTATCTTTGATGATATCTGATTCTAGCCGTCCTGGACAGCCTTCTTCCGAAAATGCCAGCCTGTCCACATCGACCTGTTCAGTAACAAGCGAGACGCTCTTGACCCACAGCTCGTACCTCTCCTTATCCGTCGGCCTCGAAGCCCCGGACGGCGAGACGAGGGTCTCCTCCGTCGCGAACATCAGCACAGCGAGATATCCGCCGAATACGAATCCGATTAAAAAAACACATAACTGAAAACAATTCATTGTCCGAGGTGAAACTCATTTGTGGTATTTTTCCCCTGTGTCATGTATTTTCACTTCGACTCATTCTCGCTAATCCTCCCGGCTAGCTCATCACGACTGTTGATCAACAGTGTCATTTAACTCTTAACTGCTTAAAGAGCGGAATTTTAAAATGCAAACTAGCAAATAACCCAGCTCCAGTTCCAAGAAGGTTATCACCGACTACCAAGTACCAAGCTTCAACAAGTTTATCAGCAGAAAGCACATGCGCAGCAATTCGGCGGAAGGTTCAAAGCTAGAATACTCGGTACTCACTACTCAGTGCAATGCACATTTTAATAAAAACCTATCTACATTTTTATTTTAATATGCTCCTGTTTTATTAATGCCTTCAATTTATTATTCTTAAAAATTTAGATATAAACTAGTTCACATATGTATTTGTTCGTTGGGTTTTACTCATCAAATTCCTGTGTTTTATAAAGCAAGAATAAATGGTATCATGTAATCAGCACAATTCAGCATATTTTCTACTGTAATGGAAATATTTTACTAACCTTTACAACAGTGTTTCAACATCATACTTTATAGTGTTAATTATAATAAGAACAACACTTAATTCTTATTTAAGCAACAGCAATCATTTCAACAAAACAGCACATTTTCTGCTATATTGTGCAGATATTCATCCTCTTTACCCTGTAAACATATTACTGTCTAGCATTAGTTAAAGATATAATTATAACATTTAGAGTTCAGGGCCATTTTGCTCAAAAACGAAAATAAATTGTAAATGATTATTCTTGAATAAATAGCTTCCACAACACACCACTGTCATACACTTATTAAACCAATATACCTCAAAATTTCGGTTTTTTCCCGGAGCGGAAATTCTTGTTTGTTACACGTTTTATAGTCAGGTGATCTCTCTCATTGATTATTAATTATTATTTATCTAAGGTCTTAGTTGAGATGAAAAAGTCAGTGCCACGAGTGGGATTCGAACCCACGACCTTTGGCTTGTATGTTGAGATGTGCTGGTGTCCGTGTGGATCAGTCATGATAGCTCAAGTGGTTAGAGCAGTGGTATAGAGCCAAAGGTCATGGGTTTGAATCCCGCTCGGAGCACTAACTTTTTCATCTCAATTCTCAACCAAGACCATAAAAAGAATAATTAATTGAAATAATTACCACTTAACATACATGGATAAATGGTAACATGTAATTTACAAAAAGCAGGATATTTGCTACAACATTTAGCATATTTTCTCCTCACAATCCTATCAATATCATACCATATAGCATTATCAGAATACATAAAAAAAATTTTTATTCAAAAGTGAGAATAAATGGTATCATATAATTTGCTAAAAGCAGCATATTTGCTACAAAATCTTTGGCATATTTTTCTTCTCACTATCCAGTCAACATAGCGAGAATAAATGGTATTTAATTTGCAAAAAGCAGCATATTTGCTGCAAAATCTTTAGCATATTTTTCTTCCCACTATTCAGTTAACATAACATAATCAGAATTTTTGTACTTAATAGTTAATTATATTTTGTGCGAAATTGGGAATAAAATGTTTTTATAATCAACAAAATATAGCGACTTTTTGAGAACGCTAGTTTAAATTTCCTTCCTTCTTCCATGTATTCAACACTGTACCACATAGTAATAACCGAACATGTCAAAAATAGAACTTATATTGTTACGTTAAATCAAGTAAAATTTGTTGTTTTCATAACGTGTAATATGAAATCAGCAAACTGAAACATATCTTCTAGTATGCAGATATATCTATCCTTTTATCCTGTCAACACTGCACTAAATAGTATTTATTGAAGAAATAAATAAAGCCTGCATCAAAGTAGTACATCAAATATAAATGAAAATAAAAGGTATCGCCGTAATCAGCAAAAAAGGCAATGTCTTCTATTTTGTACTTATATTCTTCCACTCTGCCCTGTCAAAACACTCGGTTCAGCATTGATTGAAGATATGTATAAAATAACACTCAACCTATTCAATTTATTGTAAAAGAAAGAATAACAACTATCACACAATTAGCAAATCTTCCAGAATGTTTCATCATTCTTCACCCTGCCAACATTGTACAGTTGAACTTTTAAATATATGAAACAGTTAAATAGCATTTAGCTTAAAGGCAAAAATAAAAGGTATCACATTAATAGCTTAAAATACAGAAAATCATATACTCTTTTACAATTCATACGTTTTCTTATATTCTACCCTGTACCTATTAGTTTAGTCTGAATAAAACTTGAAATAGTATAAAACATTTAAGTAGCAACTATTAATATTTTAGAAACAAAAACTGGATCAGCTAATTTGCATTTAATAATTAATATAAAAGTAAATTAATTTAAAGTATTGTTGTCAATTTATTATTTAATTGACATAAACATCGCCAGTTGATGGTGTTGACTTCAGCGTAAAAATATCAAATAAGTATACATGAAAAATATGATCTGTTAATGGAAAACCTCTGGGATATTTTAGTAGATTCTATTACCATCTTAAACGTTTTTTCAAACATGTTCAAAATGTGTCGTAGTAAGTAAATTCCAAGAGCAATCAAACCATGAATTGTAATTCATGTCCTTTTAGTAAGGTTGACTGAATATGGTTAGCAACTAAGGAAAATGGGAAGCATTGGATGCTAGACAAAACAGTACTTGCTTTTTACTGAAGTGTCAATGTTGTTTAATAGAAATATCACACAAATTTATAACTATTTTATTTTTTTAGTTCAACGATGATTAAAAAAAAATGAAAAAACAAACAAGAAATTTGATTGTTAAAAAACAAAAATACTGCTGAAATATGATCAAGGAAGGTATTTAAAAAGTATCTTATAACAATATATTTACAGAAAAAGAAAAAAAAATTGTTTAACTTTATTAGGCATATAATTTATTTTCCTAGGGTAGACTAACAGACTAGTTCATGTACTATTAAGTATTCTGCTATAAATAAAATATGACAATCTAAGAAATTAGTAATTTTCTTTTTGTGTGTGGAAAATTGGAAATTGTCATAATATTTAAATATGGATTACGAGGGTTCGGTCTTGTCTTTTTTTTCATCGATTTTCTCGACTCCAAATTTGGCCTCTTCATCATCGTCGCCAGGGCCGTAGAGAGTTGGGTATTTCTGCATGCACATCTGCATTGCCGTGAACGCTTCGACACAGTCGCTGCCCTTCGTTTCGGCTGTTGAGTAGTGAAAACAGGAGAACGCCTCCCGGAACTGTACTCCGCAAGGGCCTGTCGCCATCCCTCCGAGGCAGGGGCAGTTCCAGTTGATAGAGCCGTCCTCGAGTATGAGGCCGGGAGGCTGCTCAGGTTCAGGTAAAACAACTGTACTCGGGGTAGCATGATCTTCTTTAGAAGCAAATATTATCTTATCCTTGCCTATTCTTTTAACTTCTGACATTTTTTTATTATAATTTCATCCTATTCAAAATCAAGTGTCAATTAGTGAGCTCCATTTCTGAAACGGAAATTTTAATATGTATTAATTAACATTTATATTTCAATTATTACATAAAAGAATGAATATGTGATTTCTTATCAAGTATATATTGCATTTTTGTAAAGTAAGATATTTAATTAAATAAGTAAGGATTTTTAAATACACAATTCAACCCAAATTCCAAGTTTTATGTAAACTAGCTTTGATTATAGTTTAGCCGTTTCCAATCATCCTAATCTGACAGATCAAACTGAGGATAGAAAAATATGTGAATAATTTGTCTTTTCAGTGGTTGGTCTGGACAAAAACAAGCAAAATGAGTAAGAACAGGAGAGTCAGGATGATCAGTTTCTTATTTTAGCACATTGTACAGTACAACAGTTTATTTTACCATGTATTTAATCTTTGTGTAAACCCACAAAGAGATTCTAGAGATTCTAGGTTAAAATGTTGGCAAAAACTTTACCTCGCTGAAAGTTTTTAATAAAAAACTAGTATGTATTACATTAAGTAAAGTTGGATATTACATTAATAATTAAACTTGTTAAGACCATCCACCAACTGAAGATATCCGATGGCAGTTTGTGATCAGCCTACACACTAGGAATTTATGTAGCAAAAGGAGATCAGCCTCATCCCGATCACATTTTCTACATAAATTACTGAAGATATCTGAATGGCAAGATATATCTAACAATTGAGATTACACAGAACCATCAGACACAATCATGTTCAATGTTTGTACCCGTCCATGGATATTTTTTTAGAATAAAAAAGTGGTTCTGACCTTAGTCAGCACAAATGGGTGGCTGGAACTTTCTTGTACGACAGGAATTACTTTGCTTCGCTTGTATATCTTCACTCTAAGGGCAAAACTGGATAAGTAGAATTTTAATAAGTCTTTAGGCCGTACTCTTCAAAACCTGATAATTATACTTGTACCAAAGGTTTCACTTTCAAATCACAATCCAGAAGTTAGTCTACCATCACTTCGTAGACTTATCAAAATATTTATCGTTAATTTGGTTTCTTCAAATCATTCTGATCTTCCTATTCTCACAGTTTTGGTCTGACCTCACCTTGCAGACTGAACTGAAATATAAATCTATAGTTGGGCCATTTCCAACCATTCTGGTCTTCTTATCTTACGGTTTTGGTAAGTCATTACTTTCTAGGATTCATATTCATTAGTTTTTTTCCAGGTTGTTCTGATCTTTCTATCCAAGCACCTTTGTCCTGGTCAACACCTCAAAAACTCTATCTACATATAAATCTGTAGTTTCTTATTTACAATCATTCTGGTCTTATCCTCATGTTTTGTCCAGCCATCACCGTCTACAAATATTCATGGTTAGTTTTTCCCACCCAGATTGTACTGTTCTTCCTTTCCTCGCAGTTTTCATCAGCCAATATCTTGTAGACTCTACCGAAGTATAAATTTGTTGTCGGAATGTTTCTAATCATTCTGGTCTTCTTATCCCCATGTTTTGTTCAGTCATCGCCGTCTACAAATATTCGTTGTTAGTTTTTTCCACTCTGATAATATTCTTCCTATCCTCGCAGTTTTGGTCACCCAATATCTTGTATACTTTACCGAAGTAAAAATTTGTTGTTGGAACATTTCTAATCATTCCGGTCTTCTTATCCCCATGTTTTGTTCAGCCATCACCACCTAGGCTGATGAATTATTGGTCAGCCAATACCATATATGCTTACTAAAATATAAATTTGTAGTTTGCCATTTAGATCGCTCTGGTCTTCCTATCCTAGCACCTTTGTCCTGTTAACACCTCAAAGACTGTACTGTAATCTGTAGTTTGATTGTTTATGTTCATTCTGGTTTTCCTATTCTAACTTTTATGGTCAGCCATCACCTAAAAGACCTCACCAAATCATTAGTTTTGCCATTTCTGATCATCCTGGATTGCCAATCTGCACAGCTTTTTTTTCTGCCTGATGTGTTTTGCTATATTCAATGGTTAATTTGAGGAAGAGCAAACCAGCAAGGATAGGCAGACCGGGATAATTGAAATTGACAATTTGCACATTCATTGTACACTCCACGATTTGTCATGAACCAAGGAAATATGCCGTATTATAATTTGTGTTTTTTTTTTAAATAAGTGTTAGCATTACATGGTGTTTCTTAGAAATATTTTGTAATGATTTTTTTTTAAATTATAACCATGAATGTAAAGGGTGATGCAATATTAATGCATACGTTTGCGCGTAAATTTTCTTTAAAATTAGCCTTTTTTTATCCTTATCTGTGAAAATTTGGTCCTAGAGATATTTTATTACATGTAATAATCATCCCTAACCTATAAATGATTTAAAACAAAATGAATTTTCATTGAAAAGCTCATCCTTTTCTTTGTGTATATCTTATAGAAAAAAATCTTAATAAAAAAAGTGATCGTTTGAAAAAATGTGTTACCTATTGGGGGGAAAAAGTCTGGAACCTCGCTTTTCGATGACTTCTGTCTTGTTTTCCAACTGGGAATCTGCAGAAGGCGAGGGCTTTGAAAGCTCGTTTTATTATTGAAACTTAAAGCTCTGATAATTCCCGATTCGACGGAGAAGAAAACGATCCCAAGTAGGGCGTATTATCACAGAAATACTACCTACAACGACCGGCGAACGGAGCACATTCGGACTGGAATTTTGAAAAGTTGTACCCGAAGTTTACAGAAGGGTTCAACAGTGCCGGCTTGAAAACCAGTACTGGCTAAGAACTACTGGCGATTCCTTGGAATCGATTTAATTTCCCAATTTTTCCCCTCACTGGAAAATTTCTTTATTGCGTTTCCCTTTCATTTCTTGCCTTAAAAATACCATAAGACTAAAACAAATTTACAATAAGAAAAAAAATCAGACAACCTTTTCAATCGACACTGTTTTTGTTATTTCAAGAATAAGCTCTACATATGGTCTTGCAGATCCTCCTTCCAAAATTCCCTTGTGTCCTGATACCCAAGATATCCGCAGGTTGTTGTGTTTCCCCAGGTTTTGGAGATTTTGGATGCATTCACTGACTAATTGAAAGCCATATTAATTTTTGTACTAAAATTAAAAACCTCAGCATTATATATTAAAAAGATCTACTCAAGCCCCAATTCTCTTTGACCTCTTAGCTTTTTCACTCCACAGAAAACTAGTTCTCCTCATTAAAACCATAATAATTCCTTTATTCTATTACTTTAGCACTATCTTTCACTTTCCTTAGACTCTCAATCTGCTCATTGGCTTCAAATTGCTTATCATTCCTGTATTAGATACTGTTATGATCTTAAACCAAAGGATCATATTTCTTCTTATCATAACGTCTTCAGCCACCTTATCATACTAAGCACTTATAGAGTTTTAATCTATATATTTAAAATTACATCCAATTAAACATCTTTAATATCTGTCAACTTTTATCCCTCATTCCTTATCCAAATGCACCAATCGTATCCCCAAGCCTTCAACCCTCTTCTAAACCTTTAGCTTTATTCTTCAGAATTGCAGGGTCAAGACTATGGAATTTGCTTCTTTGGGAACTACGTTCTGCTTCCTCACTGGCATCTTAGTTTTTAAAAATGACATGAATCATTTCCTTTTCTTCCCTCTTCCTTTTCTTTTTCCTTTTTCTCTTTCTGCTTTTCTTTCATAATGTGGTTTCATCATTCAATTATAAATAATTAATATTTTAAGGAATATATTATTGTTATTATTGTTTTGTATATTTTATTTTCTTCCATTTAATATTTCCGCTCCGGCAGCCTCAAAAATTCCTTAAAAAAAAGAAAGAAATCTTGCACGCATAATTCTCATTCAAACACTAGCATGGTAGCACAAACATTCAATGGTGTAACAATTTATGGAAAGGCCTAAATCTCATTATAAATTCCAATAAATTTGAGAAAGTTGAAAAGTACTTCTCGAAACAAGCACTGGGGACCTAGTAAATCTTTTAAATCACTCAAAAGGTTGAACCTTTGCCTAAAGGGGTGCAAAGTGCAACAGTCGACCAAACCAGTTTTACAGTCATAATGATAAGTTCTCCACTTCACATACATTGAGGACAAGTTGGAAGGTTGTTGCCTATTATGGATTAGCCTGATGTGACCTATTCACAGTCTAGAGAGAATTACAAGTTTTTTTTCTCTCAAGTTCCTCAGTTTGCCATTTATGTACAACTGGCTTATTTTCTTTCACACTATCTCTGTAGACATTCCATCTTGCCGCCAACTTTCATTTGATAATGTTTTTAACATAAACGACTATATCATCTAGGTGGAGAGGAAATTGATCTGTACTTTGTGGATGGCTTGCAGCGTTCCTTCCTGTTGATCAGCTTTTTCATTTCCGAAAATGCCGACATGCCTAGGAACCCAAATGAATATTGCATGTTTGTTAAGTGCTTTGATTTCACAGAGGTATTTGTGAATTTCTAAAATACCTAATAAGATATTTCTAAGGTACAGACCAAGGGAGAATTTATTTTTGATGGCCTCTAGATCACCCTTTGAATCAGTGCAAATAATGGCATTACAAATTCCTTGTGATTCCTTTATAGTGCTCAATGATCATCTGATTGCATAAAATTCAGCTGTGTATAGACGAGCCTCATTCAATAGACCGGCTATATTTTATTATGTTTTATTATTATTATTGCTGTTATTATAATTTTACTATGATTATAAAACTAAATTTATTTCTAATGTATGTACATATAAGGGGGATTAAAGTCCTATTTGTACTTTTAAAATAAATAAATAATAAATAAAAATAAATAATTTTGACATAATTTTTTTACATGGTAATGCTTTAATAGCTCCTTAGCTATCTTATCTTATGAAGATTTTTTGCCCTTGTAATCACTTTTAAGATTTTCTAGGAATTTAATTATCAGAACAAAAATATCTTAAGTCTTATGTATTTATTATTTGTTATGTACATATTGATGACCAAATAAAGAAATATATAATATTTTGTTATTAATGTTCTATGGATTTTTTTATTCTATTAAAGAGTTTTTTCTTTGATCCAACAAAAACAACTGCAATACAACAGCTTTTTTAGCTAAGGCTGTAAATAAATTTTTAAATTGCTGTTTTATTTTTTGTTGTGCATATCACTAAAACAAATTTGAAGTTATTTTTTACTAAATCTTTGTTTAAAATATTTTTTTATCCAAACTGCAATACTTCTGTCCCCTGACTTAGAATTGATTTTTTAGATTTTTTGCTGTAAATTTTAAAATTACGGTTTTTAAATCTGTGTAATTTTCTGTAGTACTGCAATAAAACGCATTGAATTTGGTTAATATTTTAATTTAAACTTTTGGGAATTTCAGGGTTTTTGTAAAAAAAAAAAAAAAAAAAATAATAATAATAAAAAAAAGTGAACACATTATGTGAACAGTGTTAAAAGATGGAAGAAATCAAATTTTCAGCTGAAAGTTTTTTGTGCTTTGTAACATTAAGCATTGGAAATAAAAGAAAAGATGTTGAATTTTTGAAAAACGTGAGGCCAATTTGAAAAGTGTCCCCAGGACTGAGGAGTAGGTTATGCCTTCTGCGGTGTTATGTTGAAAAGCTCAAATTTGAAAAGACTGTGGCGATTGACCTCTCGGCAGAACGCCTGGTCGGCAAGCTGGCGGGCTGTCCTCGGAGGGCCATGGCACGGACCCGGGAGGAAGGCCGAGCCCCAGAACGAGGGACGGCACTCCGGGACCCTTGGATGGGGAGTCGCCGTCGTCCTAGGGTACCTGCTCTGGAAGGAACGGTCGCGGACCTTGAACGTGCAGGCCTCCTCCAAGAGGGACCACTACAACTTCATCGCGGATGTGGTCGAAAAAACTGCAGGATCCGTCGTCAACATCGAGATCATGGACAAACGGAGGTAGGAGACATTCTGCAGTGACAATTGTTTTCAGGTGCCGAGAAACCAGTATTTAAATATCCTGAGTACAGTTTCGAACTGTATTTCATAGTAAAAACGTGTGTGATGTGTGTTCCTATCTTGCAGAAAGCTTCAGATCCTGCGAATACATTCCTTTTGAGATACTTAAATTCAGTGTGAAGCAGTATATATTCATAGTCTGAAAGTATATGTGTTGTATGTTCTGTGTTCTTTGACGGCTATCAGATGCCCATTAAATCTGTAGTTCTGAGAACAAATCACTTCTTTGATACCCCGTGTCCAGTGAGAAATTATATCATCACCATCCCTAACCAACCCCAAAATCATCACTAAGCACTTCTGTTCTGCAGAAGGCTTGAGATCCTGCAATGTAGCTTCTTTCCTTTGGATGCGTTCCTCTTGAACCTTTTATTGATGCTTAAATTCAATGTGGCACAATGTATCCTCACAGTCTGAATGCAAATGTAAGTGTGGCGTCAATCAGATGTCCATTGAGTTTATAGTGCCCTGAGAACAAATCACTTCTTAGATTACTTGTGTTCAGTGAGAAATTCTAAGTAAAGTAAAAAAAGTAAGTAAAGGAGTTCCTATCATGCAGGAGACCATTGGATGTCTGCGGATGAGGGGTCAAACCATTTTGCATTAATTTCTCCATATTATTCACAATTAAAAATCCATAGGATATTGTGGGGTTCGAACCTAGGACCACTGGCATAGCAGTACGAGTTGGGTGCCTTAACCACTGCGGTCCTTTGATTAGATTCTATTTTTCATTGTAAAATTGTCATTAAGCACTCCTGCCTGCAGTGGTCGAATCTTCCTTCCTTGCAAAGGCATTCTTATGAAGCTCAACACTTTGTATTCAAGAAAATAACAAAAACAATAACCATAGTTTTATAGTTCATTGTTTCTTATTATTTTCATTATTATATATTTTAAAATTTTTCATTACATTAATTATTTGTAAGTTATCTCTGCATGAGTTTAAATAAGAAATTTAATTTACATAAGCCTACTTTTTTCACGTGTTTGCCATATTACTGAAACTCTTTTATTTCCCGTTAGATTGGACTTTTTTACAGGCTCGTTTGTCCCGAGGGCCAATGGGTCAGGCTTCATCGTCAAAGAAGACGGTTTAATATTGACCAACGCTCACGTTGTCATGGGCAGAGAGTCCGGTGAAGTGAACGTGAGTGTGGTCATACTTTCCTTCGTCTTTTGTATATAAAGTTTATACAGTTTTTGTAAAGGTGAAGCTACACGACGGATCCGTGTACAAAGGGGTCGTCGAGGACGTCGACATGAAAGGGGATCTCGCTACAGTAAGGATTAATGCAAAAGTACGGGAATTTTTAAGCTGCCGTTTCTGATTGTTTTTATTATTTAGCACAAGATGATTTGTTTTAGCAAAAACTTCCAGTTTTATCGATGGGGAGCTCGTCCAAGATCAGGCCCGGCGAATGGGTCGTCGCAATGGGAAGTCCTCTCTCGCTATCAAACACTGTGACAACCGGTGTCGTGAGCACTGTACAGAGAAAAAGCTCAGAGTTGAAAATAGTCGGGAAAGAAATGGATTACATCCAAACAGATGCAGCTATTACGGTAAATAGAAATATTGTAATTTTATGATTTTATTTGATGCTCATTTACATTTATTTTCTATTATTTAAAGTTTCACTTTAATATTTTAATTTTTACAGTTTGGCAACTCTGGAGGCCCTCTAGTGAATCTGGATGGACAAGTAATAGGTATAAATTCGATGAAAGTCACAGCTGGGATTTCCTTTGCCATACCTATAGACTATGCCAAGGATTTCTTACAGCAATGCGAAGATAGGAAAAAAGGTATTTTTTTCATTCGGAAATAGTTAAAACTCCTGCCATTCATTTTGTTTTTTGGTTTGAAGGCCTATTACCGAAGGGAACCCAGAATCCTAGGAGATATATGGGAATCACAATGCTCAGCCTTACACCGTCAATCATAGCAGAGATGAGGGCACGCAATAAGCCGATTCCGGAAGAGATCACTTCAGGAGTGCTCGTCTGGAAAGTCGTCATCGGTTCCCCTGCCCACATGTAACTGTTTTAAAAATGTGATTCACTTCTTTGTAAATTATTTTATGACTATTGCAGAGCTGGCCTCATCCCTGGCGACATCGTTGTCGAGCTGAACTCGGAAAACGTAGTTGGAGCATCTACCATTTATAAAGCCCTCGAAACCAGTTCCATTCTGACAATGAAAGCCTACCGAGGTGGACGATACCATGTTTTTAGAGTCGTGCCTGAAGTTTCGTAAGATTGTAAATAAATTTAATTATATTTTTGTTTAAAAGTCAATGTGTTTTAATAATGATAATAGGATCTTTTATTTAAGAATAATTACGAATTTACATAGTATAAAGAATACATAAAGGCACATAATTTATTTAATATATTATATGAAATGCAGTTAATTGGGGGAGGGGGAAAAACACCTACATCCTCTCAGTAGTATAATAATTTCTTGTGTTAACGTGCCTTTTCCACATTTCCATTGACATCCTTCTCTGCTTCCAGGGGCAGTTTGTGGGGCGAGAGCACAGCGCTCTCTGGGCGATGTTGAGCCCCCAATGGTTGGTGGGATGTGGGTGGACACACGCACATCCCATTTTGAGATCAGTAAAAGATTGTTTAGGATAAAAGAATAACTGTAGTAACAACAAGAGCATCCTCGCGATGCCGAACCCGGTGTGTAAAAAAACAAACATGGATCCCCCTCGTTGTGCTTTTGCTAGAAAAATGCTGAAATGGGGAACAAACGTGCAGCGAAAGTCAGTACATCCCACCCTCTTGACCTGACCATCATGACCTAACGCTAAGCGAGTGGTAAAAAGCATGATAAATTGTTATTAAAATTTATAATTAATTATACTAGCTACACAATCAATATATTATTTATGTATATAATGAAATTATATTTTCTCCTGCACCTCCTCACTCAAACCAACTGGCCACCAATTTTTTTCTTTTATTTTTCATTACCTGTCTTTATTTGATTGACCAGAAAGGTATGTCAGCTTCATATAGCTCAATTACTTTTTCAATTAAATTTTTCCCGAAATTTTTACTAATTTCACAGACATGTTTAAGATAATGTCATTGCAAGTACTCTCACAACACAAAATATTTTTTCATTTTTTATTCTTCTTTCTCGGTTGTTTCTTGGTTATATATCTTTGGTTTCTTTTTAGGAACTAGACAGCCATCCAACACATTTTATTTTTATTGAAAGAGAAATTAATAATAATGAATAACAATAAATTCAATGAAAAGAAAATAAGTTTGATCGTTGTCTAATTCCTGAAAAGAAACGTAAGAAATACAAAATCTTTTTATATTCTGCGAGCTGCTCTCGGAAAGGGAAGGAAGAGCTTGCCAACTTGAAAGCAAGCTGAGACATGTCAGCTCCGAGTCGGCCCCGTTACTTTCTTGAGTACTCTCAGAGGCTCCACTAGCGATTACAACTCTCAAGAGAATGTCGAGAGTAAAATACTACCAAGTGGACAGGCACCTTTAAGTTTAAGAAGAGCTCAAGATGCAACATAGACCAAAACTGGTCACTGCACAGGTTGTAAAGATGCTGATATTCAAACACCAAACTTTTGCACAATTACAACAAACGGAAAGAACTTGGTTTGATAAATTTGAAATAAAAAAATGTGTATAATTAAACAAACAGGTAAATATATAAATAATACATTAGATTAGGATTTACCCCTAATTTTAAACCTGTATATAAATAAAATCCACGGAGAACAACAACAATAAGCATATAGGAGTAGTATTTATAAGAGATTATTAAATTAATTGAGCGACTTTAATTTATGAGTAGTCATCATTTTCAACTAATTAAGCTCACATTTATTGTTTATTGAATTTATGTATTACATATATAGATTACATACATTTAAAGTAAAACTCATTGCCATCAATGTTTAGGTGTTGTGTCCTTTCAGATAGTTTAATAAATTAGTTTGTGTCTAATAGAATTTCACTATAGCACCATTCACAAGCCAATGAATTAATTGACAAAAAATGATAGATAATATATGATAAGAGGATTGAAATTTTAAAATACGCATAAATTAAGTTGTTTATATATTGGATCTTGGATAAAGGGTTATTTAAAAAATAAATAAATAAAATAAATTAACAAGAAATAAATATCACAATGATGGCTCATGAGAGTAGATTGACCCGATGCAGGTTCAACAATTGTCATGGTTTGCTACATGTCATTATTTTGACAAAACCAGCTATAAATTTTAAAAAAATTGTCTACCAAGTTGATGAAAAAATAATAATGATGAATAATAAATTATATAATAATATGAGAATAATAATGATGAATAGGAAGCTTGTAATAAAAATACAAAATACCAAAAGTAAGCATTGCCGTTTATTAATTAAATTTAATTTAAACCAATCTTCCAGAAAATGTTGAGATTATATTGGATCCACAGGCCCCAAAAATTTACCATTATATAAAGTGCGCCAAGCATACAATTGTGTTTTCTTTGCTTATTAAAATTTGTGTACACGTGTTTTCTTAAACCTTTCATTTGTTACAAATGCAATCTCACCCTTTCACACTTTTATATTCTCAAAAAATAAGTCTATACTTTCTTCTTTTAATAACTCCTTGTTCTTATAATATTTCATTTTCATTCTTAAAAACTAATTCGGGGTAAGGCTTAAAAAGGCAATAAACAAATCTAAACTTATTAAGAAGCTGGTGGAGCTGTGATATAAACAATATATATAGATATTTATTATATATAATGTCTGGCTTCGAGACTAAATAATAAGTACAAAGCGTAAGACTGAAAATACAGAGGAATGATGTAACATATATTAAAAATTAAAATATATTAGTTAATCGTGTTATTTTTCACTTTATGAATTACAATTGAAAAACAAAGAACAATGAGCAAGAACAATCATCATACTTTTTTTTTTCTTCTAGTATCACACTCAAATTGTTTGCACTAATGCCCAGTGACTGATACAGTTTTAATGCTAGTACTTGTTTTCATTTAGGACTGAAGAAATTAATACGCTCTAATATATTTTGCAAAAATAGAAAAAAGGCATTCGACTTTTTTTTTTAATATTTAAATTTTAGTAATTAAACTTTTTAATAATTTTCTTTCTATGTAAATTCTAAAACATAGCATTGAGAAACGGCACCACTTTCAGACAGTGGAATATACAAATACTCTACAGAGATTAATAATAATGTTTTCAACACAGTTCATTAGCACACAAAAGTAAATAAATTATTGACATAATAAATTAACTAAAAAGCTTATTCTCATTTTTAATAATAATTACAATATACAATATAAATTAGACGGAAATGTAATTTTTCTCTTCTCCCTAAAGCTGTTTTTTAAAATTTAAAATAAATTAAAATACTTTTATACAGTATCCAATCGAACAAATACTTGTAACACATTTAAACAAATTTAATAACAAAAACTCAGACATGCTGAATTCGACTATATCGAACTTAACGGTACGCAGGAAAATCACAACTTAGCCCTCACTGTCTAAGTATATGTTTACACTGGGTATACGGTTTTTTGAACGAAATTAGGCGAGATTTTATCTCGAAAATAAAATTTCAATTCAGGAAAGAAAACCCATACTGTAAGTCTACACAATCAAAACAGTAACTAAATGGTGTTCATGTGTTAACAGTGACGCTGTATCGAACTCGGGGGCACACACTTTGAAACTTCCTATGATTGGGTGTTATGCTGCATATTTTAGAAGCAATTTTTAAAAAATATTTGTTTATCCTTAAAAAAAAGTTCCAAGCTATAAATACTCAAAAAGGATGAATATTTGATTGTATCTGATTTTTAGTTCAAGACAATTAGAAAACCTGTCTTAAATAATTTCAAATGTGTGAATTCCGACATATAGAATGCACTGAAATTAAATCGAGCCTATATTATTGTCTCTAACAATGTGTGCCCTTCAGTGTAAAATCACAAATTAATTTACCACAAAAAAAGCAGCATATCTTTAGATAAAGTTCCTTTCTTTTAAATATATTTTATACATTTAATGATACATATAACAATTTTTTTTTTAAATTTTATTATTTTATTTGTTGTTCATTATAAATGGTTCCCTTTATCTCTTCACATAAAGGGGAGTTTTTGTTTGAGATAAGAAGAGATTCTTTGGTCGGAACGAGATGTTAAAAAATAAAAGAAAAAGAAACAAACGATTGCACAAAGCACATTCATGTGCAACTGCACCGAGGAAGGTAAGCACCGGAAAAAAGGGAACACACAATACACCTCTCTCTCAATATTTAACACAAATGTTAGGAAAATTATTCAAAATAAGGTTTTTTTGTTTTTGTTTTAAAGGTTACATCATCTTATGTATAGTGTGTGACTGGTGCTATAGACTAAAATCTATTTTAAAGGACAATGTTGTCCTTTGTTCAGCTTTCATTGTCTGAAACAAATAAAAAATTTATATAAAATAACAAAAAAATTAGGTTAACAATTTGTAAAACATGCATCACTAGGTGATCAGTAACCAGTGTAAAACGGCACCAGTTGTGGGTAAAAATTCTACATCACAGCCAAAATTTCTACATCACCTGTAAACTCATTTATTGATTTTTGTGAGTAAATTCAGGTGTAAAATTAGATCAAATTATTTTTTCTATAATGACAATATTCGCAAATAGGAACAAAAGCATAACGAAAACTGCCTGTAAATATACTTCATACTTTTTTTGCATTTCTTTTGAACAGAAAAGTAAATTTTTGTACTATAAAACTGCAACCAATTACAAAATATATTTTTATACTTTACTGAATTAAATTTTTTTTCATCAATGACAAATCATAAAATGTTTTATTATGGTTGAATTTCCCTCCACTGATTACTGTTACACACGTTTGACTAAACCAAAACACATTTTAGCGCAAACTTTACTTAAAAATTAAAGAAATTGCAAGAAAAACAGGCAAATTATACTGGCTGTAGGAGCTTGGAGCAAAGCTTTTACGTTTTGCATTTTATATTAACGAGGTGAATTATTTATTTGAAAGTTGTAACAAAATTGCAACAAAGAGAAAAAAAAAATTACATACAAACCAAAAGCAAAATTAAAAGCATGCAGATCATTCAAGATAAAAAAGAAGCTTGATTTTATAATTAGCAATTTAAACTAGTCAAAAACCAAATTTAAAAAAGAAAAACAAGAGCTTTTTATTACAATGAAAAGTATGGGGAAGAAATATACCGAAAATAGTATGGAAAATACTGTTGCTGTTGAAGTCTAGGCGAGAGACATGCCTGTAATGATATGATAAGCATGTTTCAAAATTTCAATTTAAGACAAATTTAAACAAATAAGAAATGGAACTGTAATTAAACAACTAATAATGATCTCTATTATAGTTGGTATCAGATTTTAATATTTTACTTTTGAATTAAAAAAAAACAGGGATAAGGCCGATTGAAAAGAAATTAAAAACACAGTTACTTCTTCACGATGAACTTAGTTTTTCTTTTCTCTTAAATTGCCCTCATTCCTGATTTTTTAATACACAATTACCTAAAAAATACAATTTATTTAACAAGTTGAAAATGAATAGTTAATTAAATAGACCAACTGTTTCCTTTAATTCATACCATCAACACGACATTTTATAAATTCTGAAATTTTAAAATTGCTGACAATTTTGTGGAATTTGATTGATCGTTTCCCCCCACAATTCCACCAAATTAGATTGGTTTATTAGAACTCGAATGATTACTTCTGACTTATTTAAAGAGAGGATTTAAGTCCCATTTCACACTGGATGACATTTGTAGGCTGATATTTTATTGTGAATAGCTGTCAGTAAAGCATTGGGCTCTTTCACAGACTATTTTCTCTTTCATTGTCTTTTGATCATCTTCTTGCCCTCTCTTGATCAGCTTTCAATGCCCAAAGTGAAGGTGGCTCACATGGGAGACATTGAAACCAACAGCGTACTCAAACATTTCGACTCTACGGCAGTTAGTGAAACAATATAAAAGCAAACAATGATACAATGTTTGGATATTGTAGAGATTATCTATATTGCTTGGAACTCCACTGGTGCGAATTTCTGCAATGTACTTACAAGCTTCATGAGCTGTACAGAAATAATCATCATTATTCTCTGTGGCAATTTCGTTTTGAGAAAACAACATCAGTGACAAATGCCTGGTATGTGAAAGTCTGTCAGCTGAAGATGTCAAACTACGCCCATACCGCTGAATATTAGATGAAAAAATATTCAAGTACTATTCAGTGTCTGTTTTTTGTTAAAATAAAATTTGGTACACACACAAGTCTCGTTTTCATTTCAATCCGCTAAAAGTGACTTGCTAACATAAACATGTTATGTTAAATCAACAACTGTATACCGACACAGCCCAACCCAATTTTTTGGTCTTGTAAAAAAACAGTATAAAAACTAAAGACTGATGCATCTATGATACAAAGATGTGAAACAACAGTGATGGTAAAATGTCGTCCAGTGTGAAAGAGGCCTAACAAAATGGAAAAAAGTAAAATATTTCAAGTTTGAGAAAAAAATCTGCATTTTTAATTAACTACTTTAAGGTAATTTTCATTAATTATATCTTCTTTTAAAATAAAATGAAAAGGTTTTTAAAAAACCATCTACTCTTTTTCACTGCACCATTTGTTTTGCATATGACAATGTAATAATTATGTAAAACAAAAGTTACGCTCTACATTCTGTAATACAAAAAAATTTCTTAGCCTCTGTACAATAAGTAGGCTTTTCAATGAAAAAAGTTATTTGTTAGTTTAAAATACATATAACTAAATCTCCAAAGTTAGTTTTTATGCCACTCTGTTCTCTCTTCACACGTTAATCTCGTTTTCATACATACGGTAAATATTAATCAGCAAGAGAAATGGTGATTTTGTTGGATGTCGAAGATTTTCTAAATCTCCTTCTTGCTGTAAATTTTAAAAAGAATCGCACCAAAATTTTCAAATATTTAACAAAAGAAAAAAAATTATAAACACAAATTTAAACATTTAAATGCGAGTTATAGAAAATACATAAAAACAAACTTTTCCCCAAAACTAACAAACACCAACCATGCATACTATTTTGTTTTATCACTTTAGCCTTAACAAAAGAGCCTTTTTCCAGACCACAACATTAACGACATAACCGAAGATTAAAATTAAAAATTAGATAACCTTGTGAGAGTCAATTTGTGGCTAATGAATGTCATACATACTGAGGGCTTTGCGTTTACGCATTTCTTCATCTGCGTTGGATTTGATGGGCGAGATTATTGCAGCCCTTCCCTGACCCATCCCGCCTGTCACGTGAGGCTGACCAGCTCTAATAGGTTTAGCTGAAAATAAATAAAAACAATTAGAGTGTGATAGTATGCATGTACAGTTCACTGATGCTTGAAGATATCTCAGCTGAGAGGAAAGTAAAATATAACTTTTTAAATAAAAATCAAATATTACTAAGCACGAAGGAATTAATTCTTGAAGTTCAATAGTAGTAGCAGATAATAACTGCCAGTTTTCATAAATTATTATTATGCTTAGACTTAACCTGAACTCATATACTTTGAATTTGTATTTAATGTATAGCCATTTATTTACTAGATTTTATTTATATAATGCATTATATAATGTCATTTTTCAGTAATAAATAATTATTACTATAATAAAAAAGTGCACACACACTACATTAGTGTTCTCTAAATTTAATATCAATAATAAATGGTTACATTTTTAAAAGTGATAATACCAAATATATTTATACAAGCTTTATTTGTTATAAATAATGCTTCCATGACTTGGTTTTCTGACGTTTTTCTCTTTTCCTTGACTTTTTATTTCTTTCCATTGCAGGTGCCACCCTGTTAATCCCTGAGAAGGAAGTGAATAGCGAGGGAAATTGTTGGTGTATCTTACCGATCATTGCACTCGGTCCCCTCCTGGCAAGATTCTTTTGCCTCACAGCCTCTTTAATTCTATCTACTTCGTACTGATATCTCTTCCTGTCTCTCATCGCTCCTTCCTTGGCCTCTTTCAAGGCTGACTCCAGAGCCTGATGAAAAAAAAAACATCACAAAATTAGTTTTATAAATATTGGAGGTGGTGGTTTCGACTGACCTTTATCCTTTCCATTGTTGCTCTTAGTCTCTTTTCTAGTTTAGGAAGTTCACACCGTAGATCGGCGTTATCACGGACGAGTTGTTTATGAACTTTGGTTAGCTGGTCAAGGTTGTTTTCTAAGAAGGAGATTTTCTGCTTCTGGGCCAGTGAGCCACCGTCGTCCTCGTCTTCAACAGACATAGACTTTTTGATCCTGGCTTGAAGATCTTGAACAAAGAGTTTGCGCAAGTTGTGAAGCGTCTGTAGCTCTTTGGCGACAGTCTCTTCGAGCCCTTTCAAATCCTTTCTTGCTTGCTCTCTCCTTTCGACAGCCAACCTTGAAAAAAAATTTTTTTAAAAAAACATTTAAAGAAAAAAATAAATATTTTTTAATGCTCTGGCTATGCATGCAAACAAGCTTAGAACTCACATCAATTCTTGTAGCTTGTTGCTCTTCTCTTGCTCCTCCAACTTGAGTTTTTCATAATCAGCAAGGAGCTGTTGATGAGCCAATGTGTATTTTTGGTTCTCACTGTGAAATTAAACATTTTTAAGCAATTTAAGCTAGCAAAAAGCTCATTTCAATAAAAATTTAACAAAAATGTATAATAAAAAAAAGTTTATACAATGAAAATATATTTCTACTAACTCTTTGACTATGTTAACACTGTCTTGTTTTTCAGCAATTTCATCTCTGAGCTGAGTGATTTGCTTCTGGTATGTCTCTCTAAGTTGGTCCATTTGCTGTTCAAAAGCAAGTCGCATGGTTGCCTCGTTCTTCTGTTCTTCAGCCTTTTCCTTACTGGAGGCTGCATGTACTTGTTCTAAAGAAATTTATCATTAGAATTTTACTCAGCAAAAAAATTACTCACGTGTATTACCTGCAGCCTTCATTTTAGCACACTCTTCTCTGAGAGTGTCCAAGTGTTCTTCAAGAGTGCGTTTCTTGTTTTCAGTCTCCTTCATCGACTCCTGCAACGATTTCATTCTAGCTTCGTGTTGAGAAATCAGAAGCCGGCATTCAGCAAGGTCTTTCTCATACTCAGAAATCTAAAATTTCAATTAATTTATAATTCAAACAATTAATTACGATTCAAAAGGAGCAATTAAACATATAATAATTATGTACCTTTTTGTTTGAATCAACTTGATAAGTTTCAAGCCCTTGACACCGCTGCACTAAGTTCTTCACTTCAGACTTCATTTTAGAGATGTAAAGTCGAGCAACTGTAAATTCTTCTTCAATCTTGCCATTCGAATCAGATGAAATCTAGAGGACAAATGAGAAAAAATTGCATTATTGTCAAAAATGAATTATGCCAAATTTTAATAAAAAGAGAAGAGATAATTTTTGTAAGATTTATCTATTCTAGCAGTGGATGTAATTTACCTTAATTTCATTATCACCACCACCAATTGCCACACCGATTCCAGAAAGATCTTTCAGAAGATTTGTCAGCATTTCGGTTATTCTCTTTCTTTGGTGAGTATACATGTCCTTCAACTGCTGCAGTTCCGATGCCTTGTTGTTAAGAGCAGACTATAAATAAAATAATAAAACGCATTTCAATATTTATCCAGTTGTGAAACACAATAATTATCAAATAAATTCTGATAATTTTTTTCCTCAAATATAATTACCTGTTTTGTAAGCAATTCTTCTGTCAAACTTTCATTCTCCTTGCTCTTTGTGTCTGCTTCTTGGCTCTTTTGATCGTAATTCACAGCCAGCTCTTCTAAAGCTTGAAGCACCTCTTTGACTTCTTCCTTAGCACACTCATTCTCTTGTGTGATCCTGTTCATTTCTTGCTGGAGAAGTTCATAGTCCCTTCTTGTCGAGGTTATCAACTGTAAAATAAATAAAAAATTGTTAACCCATTTTATTTATATTAAACTTTATAAAATATTTTCGAACTTCTGAGACTTTTTTATTTATGAAATCCAGATGTTCTCGTAAAATACAAAAAAATTCAGGTGTTGCGATATTTTTTAAGGGGGGGTGTGTGTGTAAATTGAAATTGTTCAAAACAGTACCTCTTCTTGTTCCATCATTTGTTCCTTAAGTTTCTCAATGTACTGAGACTGCTGGTTGATTTCCTCATCTTTGTCGTCCAGTTGAAGATACAACCTTTCCCTTTCTTCCTCGAGTTTCTGCCTTTCTTCATTACTAAGTGATCCAAGCATTATACTTGGAGAAGCAGGAACTGATAAAATAATACAATGTAAATAATACTGATAAAATATGATAAATACAACTCATTACTACAGCAGCTTTTTTAATTATTCAAGTAGGATATTATTAATTACCTTGTTTTATTATTTCTGTGGTGGCAACAGGAGTGACTGCTTCAAGCGGTTCCTGGAAGTTGACCTGTTCTTCAGGATTTACAGTCTCACCTTGTCTCCACCTAACAAAAAACAAAAATTATTATAATTTAATTAATCTATATTTGTTTAATGGTCATAATTGACCATATTAATTGGAATTACAATTTAAGGTAAGAATGTAAAGTATGTACCTGGCAAGTTCGGTTTCTAGTTTTTCTAATTTGCCCTTCAGCCTACCGACCTTCTCTTTTTCCTTTTCATACCGACGCTTCCATTCCTCGGCTGTCAATTCTTCATTGACAGTAACAACATTCTTGATGGTCTTTGCTCTAAATTAAAATCGATAATGAAAGTCGAGAAAAAAACAAAGAGACACAAATGATTACTACCTTCGGCCAAAGTCTAGAGTACTCTTAGTTTCAGATTCATTGAAAGATGCAGGAGAGCAACAAATTATAATTGTTGTCCTGGCATTTCCTCCGAGTGATTCCTGAAGAATACGCGTGAGCTTGGAATCTCTGTATGGAATATGACTTTTATTTCCATCGGCCAATGCTGAAATGACGTTTCCGAGCGCAGAGAGCGATTTATTTATATTTTTTGCTTCATCCAGTACAGTTCCTTCTGCACCGGTTTTAGATACCTGAAGGTTTTTAAAAATTCGAATAATTCAAAGGATATTATTTAAAAATTCAATATATTATCTTTGGTTTGTTTACTCACTTTTTCGCTACCAGCTAAATCTACAAGGTAAAGTTTGCCTGAAAGCTTTTTCTCATTTTCTAAATTTTCTTGTTTTACATTGATTAAGAATACACTATGACTTCTAGAACTGTGTTCATTCATATCTGAAAAACACAATTAATTTGTTATTATTACACCATATATAAATCAATGCAAGACTTACTTGTTACGGCAATGTGCCTATTTGCTTTGCCTTCTTCAATAACTTCAAAGACTTCATCAGGGCTTGAAACAAATCTTTCAGTAGCACCTTTTACAAACGGAACCCTATTTTTATCTTCATGGACACTCAGATTGACTTTAGACACTGAAATAATAAAGAAAAAACATTAATCAAAACTGACGTATTTTATTAAATATCGAATATCTCACCGTCTAATAAATCTCTGATTTTGTCCATGTAGATTTCAAAATAGGAAACTTTAATGTGGAACTCGAGGTTTTCCTCCATTGCGTAGATGTGGTTGAAGATATCGTTGACGATCCGAGGGATAATACCTTGTTTCATCTGATCACCGATAACTCCTTCCATCGTATGTGTTTTACCAGACGATGTCTGGCCGTACGCGAATATTGTCCCATTGTACCCACAAAGTACATCTAGAAATTATTTCAATTGTTAAATAAATACTGGAGAAGACAGGGGGGGAAAAATAAAAAATAATTACCCAAGACAATAGATTTGGCTGCTTCATTGTATACTTTTTCTTGAGAAGCGTTCGGTTTGAAGACTTTGTCAAATAAATAGACCTTTCCCTGTAAATAAACAACATATACTATTAATACATTTAGAAATAAATTGTAATAAGTTATTGATAGTTAAATTAAGTAAGAAAAAGAATATGGATTGACTAGAAAATTTGTTTAATTATTTTAGTTGAAAATGGAATTTGTCCAGCCTAAGCTATGGTATAGAAATTTGTTGGGAATGATGAAATGCAAAACAGCATATGATTGACAAACAGCTAAAATAGGCAGATCAGGATGATCAGATCTTAATCAACTATAGTTTCTATTATTATGTTGTCCACATCTCTCTTCCTCTCACTTATTTTCCACGTCCTCTCTCCACCCTCTCTCACGCTTTATCTCTTACTTACTTTACATTTGCTTTTTCTCTTTTTTATTTGCTCTCTTTCTTTCTCTTTTACTTACTTATTGTTCACATGCTCTCACTTTTTTGCTAATTGTAGGAGAGGTCATTTGCAACCTACATATGCAAGATGGTTTAAAGAAAAGGATACTCATTCTCTTCCTTTGTGATTAGTTATTCAGATATCGTGAGATGCGGTCGGGTGTGATGTAGGTTTCAGAAAAACATTTTCTTTATCGTGCCACGATAAAGAAAATGTTTTTCTGAAACCTAC